TACAGCAGATATTACACATTCACCTCTTTTATTGTGATATGAAGTCGTGTATCTTTGAAAAGAACATGTAAAAATCATTTCTTGGTGAAAGTTAAGGATTTCAGAAACAGAGAGGATTTTTCCAAGGGCCTCCACTGCTCACTTTTGTTTGGCTTCTGGTATCCCCAACATTGTTCTTGAACTTTATCTCTGAGCAGTTTTGTCTTCCTGGCTTCGCTTTTCCTCATCCCAGTGGACCTCAAGGGCTGCTTTGCTTCTTTGGTGCCAAGTGCCCTTTAACGTACTTGGAATCTTCTTAACTTTTATTCTGAGCAGGTCCACTGGGATGCACACACTTGCATACAGAATGGTATTTGCCACCATCACTTTGTAGCTGCCTTTTAATGTAGTTCCTGTACTACATTCTGCCAGCACTAGGAGTATTAAAATTTTAAAGTGCTCTGAAACTGAAAGGAGGGGCAGGAGGAATTGTAACTCTATCATAGTACAGGATCTTGTTTCTTTCCAGTGTGCTTATTATCTTCTAGAATATGCAGATTCTAGGGAGGGGTTGTGGCAGAGTAATTATGCACCTAAGGGTTGAACAAGAGCCAAGAACAGAAAGGTGGAGAACTGTAGCACGCTGGACATAAACTGGCTTAAGTCTTAGTGTTGGTCTTTCCACTGTGACTTCTTGAGTCTTATGACAGCTTTTCCAACTTCCTTTCACACCTCTCTCCTGCTTTTACTGAATTTTACCCACATTGGCTGCCTTAAGGTTCCTTGGCTGTTCTAAACACTTTCTTTCTGCATGAGGGTGTTTTCCAATGTTCTCTCTACTTGGGTCACTTCTACATTTTTTCTGGCTGGCTCTCATCCTTTAGGTGTTTACTTAAGTGACATCTTCAGAAAAGCCTTTCCTGGCCTCCCAGTCTAATGATGGCCTCATGGCACCAGGTTCTTCTTTCTAACATTTAGTGTAGTTTGTAATTATTTATTTATATGCATGTTTAATGAAAGTCTTTTCACATTTATAAACCCATTGTACACACACATTAAATGTTGGCAAGGGAATAAATGAAAGTCTCATGTGACTCAACTAGATTCTTTCATGGTCTTCCCTGTAACTGTGCTGATTGGTTGTGGTTGTTAGATTGCATGTCCTGATGTGCTTCCACAGAAGATGGTACCACCTGGAGCAGTGCAAGAGTCCTTCAGTCACCAGCCCCTGTCTGTAGACACCCAGCCTGGACAAGAGCCACAGAAGCCTCATCTCCTGGAGGAAAATGGTGAGGCTCAGTGATTCAGTGGGACAGATGTGGATAGCGAGTGGGTGTCCTGGTCACATGGCAGGCACCATCTGCAAGAAAGTGATGGGAGATAGGGAAGGGCAAGGGACCCAGAGCTGAGTCCCTGTTGTTAAGAGAGAGGTCAGTTGATAGCTTGGATGGCTGGGAACTACACAAGTTTTATTCAAAAACTATAATGTCGGTAACGACAGTTCTAAGTATGGGTACTGTTAAAGTATCTACAGATTCTTCTATAGAAGTATTACAATCCTCTTAAAACAGTTTTTCA